AAAATGAATTGACAGAACCTGTTCAGTTTATTTGTATCTTTTGTCTTTTTTGTAATAGACATCCAACTGAGGCAGTGCACTAGGTCATTATTTGGCTCCCCAAAGGCTGTGAACTCTGAGCAGGCACCCAATACTGCCTGTGAGCTGTCACGAGGTAGCTTTGGTGGGGTGGGAATATTGGATTTTAGCAGCTCAGATTATTCTTACAAAACCCTAACCAGCACTCCTAATCCATAAAAATAACATTGCACTTACCATTTTGGATCCTCTTCAGCTGTATCTGTCGGGGTATGCAGAGCACACATGCTGTCTAATTATCTCTCAAAATGCCAATCTGGGCTCTATTTATATCACTGAATTCTAATTTGCATAATGAGGGTTATCATCTGAAAGATGCACTCACTCCAGCTTCCACAGTTTTCACCCATGACTTTCAGGAAGCATCACCATGTTTTTGCCTGTAAACTGGTGAAACTGTCTGCTATTATCTACAGTTCATGCTGTTCTTAAGTTAGATTTTGTAGCTGGCTTTGGGTAGATATTTTTCCTCATTGCTACCGGAGATCATTGCAGATAGAAAGTATTTATGATCAAATTGCAAACTTTAATTCAGTACTAGTGTATCATGGGACTATAAATGCAGTGTTAATTGATTTTATTTCACTGTATGTCATAGGGAAATAGTGCATACTGTACAAATTAAAGTATTACATTAAGTCACTAAGCAGAACTGGGTCAGGCTTTTTGGATATACATGATTGTATTCTGCATTTCTCATTCAATTATTGGTTTTGTGTGGAAGCCATTCACTGAGAAAACGATGGGTTGTGTGTGAAATAAATTCAGAATACTATGAATACTCAAACTTGAGTGGTCTAATATTTTACTCATGAACATAGATAGCCATTAAGGCTAAAATGTCATTATTTGTCATGAAGCTAAAATGCTCTCTTTCTGAATTATTTGGACAGTACAATTGAAGCGTTTCCTACTTCATTACTTAGAAAATAAACATTAAGTAGCTATTAAATAATTCTCTCAGTTTTGTTCCAGTATTGTTCAAAAACTTAGATCGTGACCCCAAACACATAATTAAGAGAAACAGCAAAAACAGGGATACTTTTCGTGACTGGTGTAAAGAATAGGAAACTGGGTTTCAGAGTATTGCAAGAAATAGACTGGATATTGAGGACTGGAGTATTGGCTGGGGCTCAAATTTCTTTGGTGGAATGCCTGCATTGGAAGAGTGAAGACTTTTCATAAAATCTCTCATTGTGATCATATACTTGTGCATGCAAAATCATAGAGGGAAGGCCATTTGGCTCACTGCGCCTTGCGATCTAAAACAGTCACCACTGGGCCCACTTTTTACCCCATTTCTCTGCAAATTTTACTTTCAAGTTCATATTCATATCCAATTCCTTTCGATGTGTTACCACCTAATTCACTACCACTATTCTTTCAAGTAAAATTTAACAGCTTGGTTATAAAACTGCTCCATTTTGCCTATTCTTGTTTGCAATTATTCTGTCTGTCTGTCTTCTGGTTACCAAATCCCTGCCAAATTAATGGAAACAGTGGAGAAATTATTTTTACACTAACAATGAAAAGCACTAAACACCAGAAACACTGTCATCCAAAAGGCAGTAAATACCTTAAATAGCAACTATTAGATCTCCAATAGTATTGCAGGTGGGCCATTAGGGCCTCTCTGTAGTTTGAGTTTATACATTCTTGTTGCTGTCTAACTATAACAATTTGTTGTAATACTGCTGATGAACTTAGGTCAAATACCACATTATTGGTATAATATAAAATGTTAAACACTATGTGAAATTTTAATCTATCACATCATGGAACATTGCCAGTTCACTTCCTAAAATCTCTCAAAGTTTTTGTTTGCTTTCTTTCCCTCCCTCTGAGCTCTCTATTTTCATGTCTCCATTAAAATATTTGACCATCTTTAGCTTTTCAGTGCTGGAGGAGGTTTGGATCACACCATCAACCTGTTACTTCTCTCTGATTGCTAGGGTTATTTCCTAATGTACATTTTTCAGTTTATGGCATTTTTTTTTCTCTTGCCCATTGTGAATTTGCAGTGACTTGCTTTAAGATGTAAACATTTTATTTCTTACTTTCATGTCCTCTCACCCTAAAAATGTGATTCTGCTTATAACAATTATATGCATGAATGGAATTCTCCTCCTGAATTTTCTCTTAAAAGATATAACTCTTCCTAATGTTCTTTTAGGTTTATATTTAAACAAGTAGATATTTTTGCAGTGTTTCATTTCCACCTATGAACATCTAAGTTTTGTGATTTTTCAGGCTTCCAAAAAGCTTCAACTTTAGAACAAAGCTTTTTTATATGAATATTACAATTTAATCAATGGCTGAAATCTTGTCAAATCAAACACAGCCTAAGAGCATTTTATGGAAGCAAGCACCAAAAATTCTTGTTATATTTTTTGATATGGCAGAGCTAGAAAGTTAGTGAATGGTGCAGGTCATCTTAGAAAAGAACAGATGGTTGCTTGGGAAGAAACAATGAACATAACTGATAGGATCAAAAATGTTAAAATACATTTGGGACAGAATATGGACACACTCAAATTGCACAGAGCTATTTTGAATCTGATCACCTTGAAACTTTGCAGCATTAATGAGATTGCATGCCCAGAACTTAGTCACTGTACAACTGCTTTAGTAAGTAAAAGCTTTGTATATTTAATTTTATGTCTGGTTGCTGTTTCCTTAAGTTAAAAAGAAGCTATATATTTTGGAACAAGGCTCCCTCTGGCTTATAAGTATCACACACTTAATTTAAAACAGATACCTTATTGATGTTAAAGTAATGGTAGTTCGTTATGATTGATTGAAACATTGATTGCAGTGTTAATGTTCATTATCAAGGCACATTATTTCATTTTTTTCTAACTGTAATGTGAACATTGGTATCCTTCCCTTTGACACAAAACAGTTTCGTTCCAAATGACCGTCTTAAATTATACATGATGCAATCAGAGAGAAAAATATTTCAGTTTTTACCTGTTTTCTCTTGTTGCTGGTGCTAATTTTTTGTCTGTGCACAGGTGCAGTCAGACCAAGACGCAGAGCATTGTCAAAACTATACCTTCCAGCATGCAAGATGCAGGCATAACAACCAATAGACCACAGGTTGTGGGGTTATTAAACTCTTTTCAATTACTAAGTACTCAGTTTTGTATGTAGGTTAAATGTCTTTTTCATTCATGATTAGCAGTAACTGCTTTTTGTTTTGCAAAGTATGGTGGATGACTTTTCATGCTCCACCTGTTGTGTCATATAACTCGAAACCAAAGGATTTTGCTTGTTGGTTATAGAGCTGGTGAAATCCTCAATGTCACCTCCACTGGGAAGGCCCACGGTCTTATAGAGAACCTTGGGCCTTCCCAGGCATCAAGGACCATGGTTTGGAAATTGTGCATCCCTGCCTGGGAGTTACTGGCAACTGTTATACTGTAGGCAAGATATCTGGGAGGAGCTTAGCATCGGCAGCAAGGAATGTGGCCACAGCCGAGTGATGACAGACTGGCAAGTGGTGAGTAGAAGAAGAAGAGTTCAGAAGAATAGGTTTCATTAAAGTCCTGCTGCAGAATTTCTTTACACATGTTTTTGTGGAGGTCTTGCCCACTCTGGCAGGATGAATGGTGGGCTGAAGCTGTTTCAGGTAGGAAACCTGCCCAAAGTGCTGAAGCCAATGATAGTAAGTCGTATACACAGGATAGGCTCATTGGAAGAGGGAAAGGTCATTGGGAGGTGCCAGAAGTGGGGAGTGATAGACAGGAGTACAGACGGTAAGCCCATGTCGATCAAGTCTGGTGCTGAAGAGGGCATTACCAAAAGTCACAATGGTGGGTGGAGATTCAGTGGTAGTCTTTTGTCATTGAGGGGAAATAGTAGTCCGGGATATCCTGATTTTATGGGAAGCAGCAGACATGTTGTGGGGCATGTTAACTGCATAGCTTCCTTTTTTGGATTGCTTGTACTTTAACCCCTGAAATGATCTCAAACCACTAACTTTAACTTATAGATCCAGCCCATCAGGATAGCAACAGTTACTAAAGACATATTCCTGTGGATCAAACAAAAGCTTGTTAAATGTCCAAGAGGCCTTTGTGTTGATGTAATAGTATCTTATATTGAACAGGTTAATATCAGTTTGAACCTATCAGCCATTACATAATGATTCTTCAGTAACAATGACTCATTATGAAGATATGTGGAGCAATGAGATGCTTGCCCATTGGGAGTGAATCACTAGGCAAATTACCACTCTACATCGTTCCAAAGTTCAATGAGCTAATCACAAGAGTAGCTGAACTAACTGAGACAGCATGAACTATGAACAAAACGAGTTAGTTTGTCTTAGGGTTTTACAACTTATCTCAATGGACCATGTTTAAGGAACCAAGGAATGGAAAGATACAAAATGCTGTGAATGCTGGAAATCTGAAATAGAAAGAATAAAAGCTAAAGATACTCAGCAGGTCTTGCAGCACCTGTGGAAACAGAAACAATTAACATTTCAGATTAATGAACTTTTATTGACACACTGATGTTTCTGCCTTAGATTGAAAACTGAAGCCAGAAAAGCTTCAGTGGAGCATCTTCATCTTTGGTATGTAACAGAAAAAAATACGTACACATGATTTGACTCCATATTGTCTCTCCACTTTTTCTTTTAATTCTTTGAAACAGGTTTCCAATCTCTCATGGAAAGGTCTCAATGCTTCAGTTACTTTCTCACCATGGATTCGTACACCTTCATTCAAGAATGGGATCTAAATGATTTCAAAAAATGCACAATGTGAATGTTCCACAATAACATTGTACATCTCCTTTAACATAACAAGTATCTCAAAATACGTTATAGGGCAAAAAGGAATTGTGAGGGAACTTATAGAGTGTTGAAAAACACTAGGAAAGATCCAAGTTTAATGCAATAGAAACAAAGTACTGGTAAAACTCAATAGGTCTTACAGAGTCTATGGAGAGGTTAAAATGATGGCAAGAGTCAGACAGAACAAAAGGAAAGGCCAGAGTTATGTTGGAGGGTAAAAAACATTAAGTAACAAAGATGTCATGGGACAAAAAGCATAGGTTGTGATAATGATAGTAATAAAGAAACAAAGGATTGATCCAGAGTAATTGTTAATAGTAAAGAATAATTCTGTCTGAAAGTAAAAGCATGAAAACAGATTGGCATTTGGCAAAATAAAATCAAATGAAGGGCAGCACTTATGGTCTGAAGTTGGGATTAATTGAAACATTTCAGCAAGTTGAGGACAGCAATCATTTTCTTTTTGTTGCTTTTTTCAGACATAGGGTAATTTCTTTTTGCAACAACATAAAACCCATCATATTTCTATCTCTCTTCTGTTCCAAGGAGCCATACTGGACTCAAAACAGTAACACTGTTTTTCTCTCTCGACAGATATTTAATACAATTATGTTGTTGCACTGTCCTCAGGCACTGGTTCATGGAAAAAGATTTTACATTTGTGATTACCGAAGAAGCACAAGTCTAACTTCACTTCAGCAAACTAATGCACTGTTACTGCACGCGGCTTGCAATTGCATTCAAAGAGGAAACTCTATACCAATGTGTTTTGGATACAAGTAGAATGAATGGGGTAGAGTTCCAGGAGCCAGTAAGGAGAATGCTGAGACAAAATCAAGCTTTCACAGGATAATGTGAGTAAAGGTTCCAAAAATTGCTAAAGGTGAGGTATAAATATAGACATGCAATGCCATGGAGGTGGAAACCGGTGCTTTTGGCAGTACAGCAGTTGTGGGATTGGAAAAACAATTCAAGGTCAAACAGCTTACTTGTTCAGAGAACACTGGTTCAACCTGTAACAGGATTTATTATAAACTTAATAATATCAGTCAACTCTATTGGCCAGTATTATCAGCCATACATTATCACCTGTAGGGATAAAACTATAAGGGACTGTAAGTATTCCAATGCATGTCTATTTCAAACCTTCTCTGTTAATTTCTCACTGTGGTTCAGTGTCAAAACCAAACAAATAATTCCAGTCATCTATTTTCTGCATTTTAATTACCTCACCTCACCTTTCTAACTAATAAACACCAGTTAATTCAGATTAATTTCTTACCACTTGTTTTTAACCTAACACTCAGTCTTAAGCATGCCAAACTGCTTAATTATTGATCTCTGTTCATATACATAGTACAGGAAACTAAAATGTTTAGCTTTTATTAATTAAATATGAATGGTCCTCTTTTCACTCTCATTCTTGGCAAAGGGCTATGCATTACAAGATATATTTCACTGGATTTCTGTAAGTTATTTTATGCCCGTTGTTCTGAATTCTTGTCATGGAAGTATTCCTTTCATTCCTGAAAACAAAGTTGCATTTAACTACATTGCTGGCTTGTATTGGAATAAATTCATGTCATGCATTCAGTTGTGTGCAATGTTACGGTTTTATATCTTTACATTTTTGGGTTGAATTGTAAGTGAAGAAATGAAACTGCACACTCAAGTAAATGATTATAGCGCTGGCAAATTCTATGCATTTTTCAGTTTACTGCATCCAGAGCTGTCACCAAGTATTCCCTACTGCATAGTTCAACACAATAATACACTCACATTAAAGTATAATAACTTCAACTTCAGTGAAGTGCTTTTACAACTTCGATACAGTATTTACATTTTCCACACCAGCTACTGTTATGCAATTGGTACTAACTTCTTCATCATAGTGTCACAGAGGGACACTAGACTTGGAGAGACTGATAAAACAGTATTTTTTTAAAAATGAATTCAAACTTCCAGTGAATGGCTTAAAATATCACAAGTTTTCAAATTTTAAGACTTGTACTGTAACTCAAATTAAAAGCAACTTTGCCTAAACACTAAAATAAAACCACAAACTGTGAAACCCTTCATGAGTGATATTCAGTACCCAAACCTCCCTTATGATTGCAACATCATATTCTTTTGGGGAATTTTGTGCGTGCATCTCATTAGTTCTGATGGAAGATCAGTGGTCCAGAAATGTTTCTCCCCACAGAAGCTGCCAGACCTGCTGAATTTCTCCAGCAATTTCTGTTACTGTTACCTGAACACTAATTCAGTAAGTCATTTATATCCTACACTACAAGAAAGATCACACCCCAACCACATCAATGATGGGAATTAGTATCCTATACTTTGTAACTTCTACACAAAAACCTAGAGATAAGAGGTTTGCAATCATAAATGTTGCCTGCTAATTGTGTTCATGGTTTAACTCATACCTTCAACTAGAACAGTTTTTTTTTATTTTGGAAGGTTTTATATTCCCCTTTATGTTTGAAGCATCCTCTTCTCATGTTCTCTCTTTTGCTGCTTTAACTTGCCTTTTCACTTTCCTTCAGAACTCCCTATAGTGCCTTGTTCTCATTTGTATTATCAACCTGGCATCAGGGATACAATTTCTACTTCACCTTACGCTCCTCTTTCATCAGGCTTTGGTTTCCCTGCCTGTGTCTCTCATGGGAACGTCCTTCAACTGCACAGGAACCATCTCCTCCTCTTCAAAGGAAGTCCATTATTCTGTTACAGATTTTGTGCAGCACAAGTTGTCAGGACCTCTGCCCGAATATTGTTAAAGCCTCTAGCCTTTGCAGAATTCAATGCCATCAATCATTTCTAGATTTCACATGGAGTGAACGGAATTGACTGATGCCGAGGACCTCATGAGGAAGCGAACACGATTTATCCACTTGGCACTTCTGGTAGAAAATGACTGCAAAAGCTTTAGTTTTTTTTCTTTTGCACTGATGTGCTTAGCTTCCTCAATACAATGGATGGGGACAGTACTGCAGTCTCCTCCACTTAGTGTTTAATAGTCCGCCACTGGATTTACAACTGTACGTAACAGGACCGTAAAGCTTTGATCTGATCTGTTAGTTGTGAGATCTGCTTTTGCTGTTTTACATGCAAGCAGTGTTGTGCTGCAGCTTCACCAGATTGACACATCATTTTTAGGCATGGCTGGTACTGCTCCTAGCATGTCCCTGCCATGACTTCTGGTCATGGGCTGCCCCAACACCAATGTTTAATTGGGCAACATTTCAATCCAACCACTATTACATTTCAGACAGTTAGTATAACAATTTAGCAACAGCAGAGAGGTCATAAACTGGTGGTGAGGTAAAGCTAGATGTTGTCATATGTAAAAGCAAATACTTTAATTTTAGCAATAAGCAATATGTGAATGACTAATTGAATAGACTACAAATAGAGCCAATGAACACACTAGAAGTAACATAGAGTCATACGGCACAGAAACAGACGGGTTTGGTCCAATCAGTCCATGCCAAGCATAAAAGGAGCAGGAACGTTCTCTAGCTCTGATTAGATAGTTATGAAAACAAGTGGGTGCAGTTCCATTCAGCTGAACAATGGTGCAGAGGTATGTCAAAGGATACAGACAGGCTGAGAAGAATGAATAGGAGAATGAATGAATGAATAGAATGAATTTTTTCAAAGCTTAGGAGACTTATTGAGAGCCACTTTGCTGCTCTGGCAGGGCAAAAGCTAATTGGAGAAAATCATACATGGACTTCCAGGAATGATAAATATGCACATGTATAACATCATGTTCAAGACTTCTGGAGAGAAAGGGGAGTTAGAGATGGTGTGGTGGTTTGCAAAGACATTGGGTTGAAGGGTTTGTTATTCTCTCACCCAGCCCTTTTTGATGCCTCTTCAGGGCCTAGATCTCCTCCATCCAATCAGATCTTCCCTGCCAAACAACCCAGCCTTCTCAACAAAGCCAGGATTAAGAGGTTTGCTAGTGTCGTTGTGCTGTGTTAAACAAAATTGCAGGTTTGGGAGCCAGGGTGTGGCATTAGAAAGGATAAACAAAGTGCACAAATGATTTAGTAAGATATTTAGGACTAGTATTAGAAATTAATAGTTACAGTATTAGATAAAGTCAGGCTAAAAGGATATTCTTTAAGACTTAGACCAGACATACCGTGCTTGTATGTAAATGCTTGGAGTGTGGTAAATAAAATTGTTGAGCTGCAGGCACAAATATTTACATGTAAAGATAATGTTGCAATAATAGGGGAGGGTTGGCTGCTGAATATTTCTAGACACAATTAGTTCAGGGAAGATAGAGAAGGAAAGGAGAAGGGCTGGCAGCATTGTCCTGCTGGGTTAAGGACAGAATCAATCTTATTAAAGTTAAGAAACATTGGAAGTGCCATTACACTAATGGATGGATCCTTTACATCATCAACTGGTGGGACAGATATAGAGCTGCAAATTTTCAGGGAAATTATAGAGAGATGCAAGAACTAGATTATTGTAAACAGGCCTTTAATTATCCTAAATTTCAACTGATACCAATGCCATAAAGAGCATAGATGGAGCAGAAGAGAACTTTTCTGAAATAAGTTCAGTGCAGTTTTCTCAATAGGTATATTACAGCTCCAATAAGGATGGAGGCATTTCCCGAGTGGGTTCTGGAGGTTTGCATACAATGATGTTGTAGACATGCTCACCGAGCTGGCGGGTTTGGTTGTAAACGTTTCAGCACCCTGCTAGATAACATCGTCAGTGTGCCTCTGGCTTCACTGGAGGCGCACAGACAATGTTACCTAGCAGGGTGACGAGATTTTTGCAACCAAACCCACCGGCTCGGTGAGCATGTCTACAACCTCATCCACAACCCAAGCTACAAATCTTCTCGAAAACTTCACATGCAATCCTCTTCCAGCAAACCTCATTCCACCAACACTTGCTGTCTCCAGGAAT